GAAATCTGTCCTGGCACCTCCAACCTCCACATGAGACCACGAGGTCAACACACATCCCCCAGACGGTCCCTTCAGTGGCACCAATTTCACTGTCAAATATTTGCATGGTTCCAATTATAATTTAGCCCAGGAGACTCTGCAACACCGAGCCTGGGTCATGGATGAGTTACATCCTTCCCTTAAGCACTGCCTGCTGGGCCAGAGAAACGCTGGGCTTGCAAGAGTTAAGGACTGGGGGCTGGGAATTAATTAACATCTTCCATCTTCATATGATCTCAGGTGGATACTTTATGTTTTTGTCTGCAGAGGTTTATTTTCCTCCAGATTGATTGCATGAATTGTGTTCCCAGAGATCAGAGAGTTCAGATGGCAGAGGATCCTCTTACCAGAAGATGAAAGCCAATATAATCAACTGCACAACTTCAAAACATGCAGCTTGTTCTTGTTGGCTGTGCCTAAGTTTTCCCTGCAGAGAAGCTGTCGACAATGATTTGATATCAATCCAGTAACAATCCCTGGTTTCTAATAATAATTTGCACTTCAGTAGAAATGTTCATGTGAGGCTCTGAGAACATTTAGCAGATGGTCATTAGCAAAGCTCCCCAGTTCTCCTGCAAGGAAGAGATAACAATTATTAGCCTTGTTTTACAGATGGTAACACTGAGGTGAGGCACTGAAAGGTGAAATAACTCTCCTAATTTTCCATAATGAGCCAGTGGCAACAGATCCATGAATGAAACCCAGGCGTCCTGCTGAGATTACTCCACAAACCCTGTATCCTTATCTCTTACAGGAAAACGTGGTCAAAGAGGTGAGCCTGGAAAGCAAAAAGCAAATGACTCAAAGGCAGGATTCATGACACATTTCTGGAAATAAGGAATTAGGTCTGGGTCAATAAATAACTGGAAAACCAGGGGGACGCAATCTGAGAGGCATGTGAAATGAGGATGGATGGAAAAGAAAGAAGATAATGGAAGGGAGGGGAAGGAAAACAGAGCAGCCTCTGACTTTTTATTTCCACTCTTGGTTTCAATCAGTGTTGTAAAATTAAAGGTTAGGCTCGGGGAGAAAGAAGAACGAGCTCCATCTGCTCCCGTGGGGATAAATCTAATGGGTGAGGCTTCAAACGGGAATTGCTGATAACAAAACTCTCTTCCCCTCGTGTCCAGTGGTTCCTCACCCTGCAGAGAAGCACCAGCCATGGGGACATCATCTGTGTTTTGATGGCAGAGACCTGGGCAGGGCAGGGAAACAAGGCTGGGTCTCTTGGGAACGCTGGCTCTGCCCAAGGGCATCCGAATCCACCAGAGCACAGGTGCTGGCCGGGCTGGACAGCGCTCCCGGCTCGGCTCCAGCGGCAGAGGCCGAGCTGGAGGTGTGTGGACCAGCACTTCAGGGACTAATTTTAGCTTTCAGTTCCACTGTCTTTGCCTTTCTCACCCAGAACGTCTGGGCTGCTCCCAGGGAGGGACTGGCTGATGCTCCAAAGCGCCCCGCTCACATCACACGCCGAGGGGAGCACGGCCCAGCGCGCTGGCCCGGCCGGGGAGTTTATAAACAGCCAAATGGAAGCCAAAAGACTGGAGTTTAATCCCTCCAGTTAAGTCATCTAGATTCCTTCTCACCACCAGCCATCTGATCTCAATCAACAACTCTTGGCCTTCATCTCCTGACCTCGCCGAGAGCCGCAGTGCTGAAGCCTGAAGTAATCTGCATGCAAAATGCTTCAGTAATGATTCCTGCAAAAGGGCTTCTTTTATTATTTCCCAAAAGCCCTCCAATATGAAAGCAGTAGGCAAACAACAAAGATGGCTTAGTAATGTTTGCCATTAATAATTTGTTAAATGTTCTGCCACTACATTTTCAATACCTAGAATAGAAGCGTGTTGGAAGAGACCTCTTAACATGCATGTGCTAAAACCAATTGGTTGGGTATCAAAATGGGATGTGCTTTGAGAGTGGAAGTATTGCCAAGTTATCTGTTTGTCTCATATCAGTCGGATTCAGCGAGGAAATGACACAGAATTAAACACCTGTATCTTTAACACTGATAATTACATCACCTCTAGGTGCAGTGGGTATTCTTCAAAAAATTTGCAATGCATTCAGAGATTTATAGAATCACAGAATGGGCTGGGCTGGAAGGGACCTTAAAGCTCATCCAGTTCCACCCCCTGCCATGGGCAGGGACACCTTCCACTAGCCCAGCTTGCTCCAAGCCCCATCCAACCTGGCCTTGGACACTTCCAGGGATCCAGGGGCAGCCACAGCTTCTCTGGGCAACCTGTGCCAGGGCCTCCCCACCCTCACAGGGAAGGATTTCTTCCCAATATCTAATCTAACCCTGCCCTCTGTCAGTTTTAAACCATTCCCCCTTGTCCTGTCACTATTATAATACTTCCAGCATCACTCTGTGCACTTCCAGCCCCAGAAAGCCAGAGAGGCAGAACTGTGACCAAGTGTGTCGGAGTGGCAACATGTGGCTTTGGAGCAGGAAACACCAGGGCAGTCTGGGAGAGCAGCAGTGATGTCTGCACTGGCAACATCAGACACAGTTTGAAGAACCCTAACCATGAATCCCAACCACTCTGTCCATGGGAGCTGCTACTGCAGGTGCTCCTCAGGGGCACAGAGAACCTGCTGGAAGGAGCGAGTGCTCACCACTGGTGCGAAAACTGGGATGGGGATTTTGGAGTGCTCCACCTGGCATATCTGCATTTTGGAAGCAAATATTACTGCCCACCCAGGGGGATCCCAAAAGACAGGAGAAAAGAGACCATTAAGGGCAGTTCTGCTCAGTCACCAGGACCTCAACTTTCCCCCTTCTTCTTTTCCTCACGTCAGTGTGACGTTGGTTGTGTATATGTGAAATAATGCAGGACATTATTTCACCATTTCACACTCTGCACATATATATGAAATAGTAGGCAAGGGAGACAGAGGGAACACGATCTGCCATTTTCTCAACTCAAATAATTGCATTACAAAGCACAGTACAGTTCACATTATTGTGCCCTGTTCCATCAAACTCCCTCCCCAAGGTGCACATGTATCTCAGACTATCGCAGGGGTTGGCAGCTGCTTCACTGTACTTACTCCTTTTTATTTTTTTTTTTTTTTCATCTTGGGGCTTTTAAAATTGATGGGAGGCTGAAGGCAAGAGCTGATGCATTGTAGATGACAACAAAAGAGGCTCCATAAAATTGCTTTTGGCATCTCGTGTGCGTTCCGTCTACATCTTATAAATTACTGCTGCGCTGCAGCGATAAAAATAGGTTTGTATTTGGAATTGATTACAGTGAGATAAAGCCTTAATAAAATAAAATTAAAAAAAAGTACCAATGCATAAATATTCTGAACACACAGGGGTAATTTGATTTGATAAAATAAAAGTACGGCTCTTAATTTCTCCCTTTTAAACAGAACACACACTCACATCCCGCAGCGCAGAGAAAACTTCAGCAGCTGTTTTGTTCAGGATTCTCAGAAACGGGTCTGTGCCTTCTCGCAGCTCTTCTCTTCAGACATTTTTATGGCACTCTCTGTATCCCCAGCATTCCCATTGCTGACGCAGGGCAACATTCCCCCTGCAATCCCAAAGCGTTCAGCTCAGGCCACTGTGCTTCGTGCAGGGATAAAAGCTGACTCCTTACCTGTGCCCCTAGAAATTATTCTGTTAACTGGGCTATTGCTGTCCACAGCACATCGGTGCTTTCGCCCTAGCTGGGACTGCAGGATCAGCAGAGGGAGCTGGGATATTGTTTTCAGCAGTTCTAATATAAATGGAAGGCTAATTTTATTTACAGGAGAAAGAGGGAAACAGCGATTCGTGTTTCGGCGTGACCCGGGCCAGGATGCTTTACTCAAGCAAAACGCTGTTTGACTCAGATTAATAAATTAAGGGTGAGCATTGGCTTTGCATCACGGCAAAGGCAAACAGTCAACCTTTAAAGCAACGAGAGGCTTAACTGCAGATAACAGTGATGGGGCTGGCGGTGGAATCCAGGGCTGGATCCAGGAGCCGGTGAAACACGGAGCAAAGCACCACATCTGTTTTCCAGCCCAACAGCTGCACAAAACCCTTCGGCCACGTCGCTGCAAGGTGCTGAGCCTCCAACCCCAACAGCACGGCTGGGTGCCCCCACCCCCCGGGTGATGCCAGGTTGTGACCCCTTGCAGCCCCTTGCTGCCCTCTATCCATGCTGGAAAGCAGCTTTTTGGGGGGGTGGGGGGCAGGAAGCCGCTGCTCTGGCCCCACCAAGGCCCTGCCAGCGCGGCGGCGGGAGCCGGGGCCGAGCCTTTGATGTGGGATGGACGGGATGTGGCTGCGCCTGCTCCCGCCAGCCGGAGCGTGGAGAGGAAAACCATCGGCAGCAACGCTCACAATTACCCCTGTGGAGCAGCCTCAGCATTCCTGAGCTCTCAGTAATGTATGATAAGCTGTTACAAGTAAGATGATCCTTAAAAAAAAAAAAAAAAGGCAGCACAAAGTGTGTCCCCCCCCAACAACTTCCCCCTGGGAAAAACACAGGTAGGCCGACAGCAGGTTACTTTTAAATTTCATTTATTTATTTTTGTGTACATTTCTCGTAATTTGACTGACATACCATTGCTATAAAGATGCCCTGCTCTTTGAATATTTCATCCAAGACCACTAGTTTCAAGTGTGGTTATGAAAAGTCACGGCAAACATATGACTGGAAAGAGGTGGTTGGTTTTGACTTCCAGGCAGTTGTTTGAAGCATTTCATAGATGCACACAATATTCAGCAGAACACACGCACACACAGTGCTGAGTTTTACACACACACACACACACACACACACACACTCACACACATCTGGAAAACGGTTACAGTGGTTGAAGTTTCAAAAAGGTGTCCTGTCCCCTCTCTCAGCAGCAGTGAAAAACCTTTGGATATCCTGAGAAATAAAACCAAAGTGTAGTAAAGATGATTAACTTATTCCATCAGCAAGGTTTGGTGGTGTTTTGTTTGTTGGTTTTTTTTCCCAAGTCAAATATATTTTCCCAATCTAATTTCTTTTTAAGTGAAGAAGGTGGGGAGAAAGGATCTGGGGCAGTGAAGGTTAAAGAATAGCAGTTCAATTGTTCCAATATCCTTAATCCAGTACAATATGGATCCTAAAAGCATCTCAGTGAAACAACAACATGAAGCAGAAGCCCATCAAACATTACACACGTGGTCCTACTGTCAGTCTCCTATTACTGCTCATCCTCAGGAACAGAGCTGAGATGGATGAAGACAACACAGGTCAAGAGAAGGGTTTGAGATGGAGCCAGATGGAGTGGGGGTGAAGGCCAGGTGACCACTGAAGGACTCTAGAGCACAGGCAGGACCCTGAAGTTTGCAGTATCTGCCTGATGAAATTGCACCTGGCTGAGGACAGGGACAGGAGCTCGGGGTGATGGTCCATCCCAGCACGGGGCAGTGCTGGCTCTGCCCTGCTCCAAACCCTGGGCAAAGCCCCTGGAGACCTTCCCCAGCACTGACAGCCCCCTGTGTGCCATCTCACAAAGAGGTCAGCACCTCATTTCTTTTAAATAACACTCTCCAAGTTTGCTATCTCTGCGCCAACCCACCCTCCCCGAGACGGGGTTTGCGTTAGGACACGACAGTTTTGAGTCTCACAAGGAAGGAGTTTCCTCCACGAGGCTAAAAACTGAAAATCGCCCATGATGCACTGGATGCCTTCTCATCTGACACCACCTCTGCTGTTCCTGCCACCGATGTGACCCCTAGTGATGCTCCTGAGGAGCCCCAGAGCTGTGAAGGGCCCCGTGCCCTGCGCTCCCTGGCTGCCAGAGGGGTTGTGTGAGGTGACAGGCTCTGAGCAGTGACAAGCACTGCAGAGGAAACGGGGCCAGCAAAGACTTAAGACAACAAAAACAAACACGAGGCAATTAAAAGAAGGACGGGAGATGTGGTCTGATGTACTTCTGCCAAGAAATAAATATTTTTACGTTGCCTTTTTTTTTAAAAGCAATTGCATTATGGTTTTTTTTTTTAAGCCTCCAAAATGGTGGAGTTACTCCCTGCACCCCCCCTACACACACCACATGCACACACACACACACACTCTCTCTCTAATGCACATACTTTTCCAGCTTTGTAGAGCTACTGGATTTACTTTGAGACAAGTTTCTTGTGCATTTTGACAATTTACTTTGAGACAAGTTATTTGCAAGAAGGCAAAGTTCATGCATGGCTTTGACAGCTCCACTTTCTCATAAATGGTTTTTGAAAAGCAGAAAGCAAATGAGGGCCAAAGCTCCATTTAAAGTTCACCTCGGATGCCTGAAAAGCATTTATACCCACATCCTTCTGAGGTCCCTGCTTTATGAACTTCTAATGAATTCCACATTCTGCTACCCAACGTTTCTTATACACAGGGGGAAGAAAAAACAAACCAGAAAACCAATGCAAGCTGTCTGAAAACAGATGCACCACAGCGTCCAGGCTGCCCAGGGAAGGGGTTGAGTCACTGTCCCCAGAGGGATTTAAAAAACATGTAGATGTGGCACTTGGGGACATGGTTTAGTGGTGGCCTTGGCAGTGCTGAGTTTGTGGCCGGACTCGATGATCTGAAAGGTCTTTTCCAACCTAAACGATTCTGTGGTTCTGTGATTCTACTATTCTTTATCAGAAAGGCTGAGGAGGCTTCTGAAGCAGCAGAGCACCTTTCAGAGGGGAGAAGGGGGATAAAAAGAACAAGAAGTGATGGTTTTGAGCCCCCAGTCCTGCTTCTCTCAGCCAGGTCACACTCACACAGGATTTCCCCTAGACGTCTCTTGCAGAGCAAGAAGCTGCTCAGTAGTTGCTCCATCATTTCTGTAGGATTTGTGTCCTCCATCCCAGAGCTGACACTTGGCCAGAGGGTGCCTGGGTGACTCCCAGCCCTGCCTCGAAGCAATCCTGGCCACCTGAGCCCCCCTCTCCAGGGCTGAAGGCAAACTCGACAGAGAAAAGCCTGGTGTGGGACTTGGATGAACCAAGCACTTCACAAACCAGACTTTAATTTTCAGGTGGAAAATGATTGTTTTCTCAGAATTCCAGTGTGATTTTGGTTAGTGATGTGACACAGAGCATTTCACCAGCTAAACTGAACCCTGGTGTGAGTCAATCCCCTCTCAACTGGTGCACCCAACTGGTGCTTCTCCTACTAAGAACTAAAGTGAGCAGGTTTCTCCAGAAGCCTCCAAGATGTTTAAAATACATTTTTTTTAAAAAGACTCCTTATCCCCATCTCTAATTCTAGAGCAAACCAGGGCGCTAAAAAAAAAAATAAATCTAAATTGCTACAAATATAATTTGAAATAATAATTAGCCATTACTGCCATCCCAGCTGTTAGGAGATACTACAGGGATTCCATATGGCTCAAGGGCAGGCTGGGAGACACCTTCAGCACCTCTTGGATAGTACCAGAAATGGATAAATAATAAATACTAAGAACATGAGAAAGAAAAATCAGCCTTCCACATGTAAGGAAAAGCAGAGACTTTCACAGTTAGAAAACAAATGATGGTACTGTAAAAAAAATCCTAAAAATAAAGTCAAATAAGGACTTGCATTACAGCAGGTTGGAAAGTGTTCTCCTTTCTAACATGTTCAGAACACACAGGTGCTTTCCCTGTGCCCTCTTCAATACCAGAGACCACTGGGCAGTGGTTGCTTTTCCATTGTGCTCATATTTTGGGTTTTTTTTCTAGCCAAAATTATGTAGAAATACCCTTGTTACAAATTTCCCACCATCTCGAGAAAAAGCAGATTTCACACCTCAAGACAGAAACTCTAGAAATTCCATACATTGATGCTAAACATGGATCTTTGCCAATAAAACTGTAATTCCTTAAATTGAAAATTTTGGACGTTTTTAGAGGTTTGGGTTTTTACAAGTTTTACTGCAACTCATTTCCAGCTTACAAGAAACTACATTTAGCAGCTTCCCCTTGATGTACTGCTATTAAAAAATAAATGCAAAATCCCAACTATCTGGTATGTTGTGACTGTTTCCCCTGGCCCAGGGACAACTCTCACCAAGCACAAACTGCTCGAGTCACAGTGGCCGAGCTCTGGAAATTCACTTTACACACAGATTATAAAGGGAATATCTGGAGTCAAATCCTGGTTTTGGTGATACTCTGTTTTGAACCCCAACCTGCCAGAAGCCCCCCAGAAGGCACAGTCCGTGCTGTGGGTGTTTATATGCAAGACTCATGACTAAATTTGGGCTAAACATGGACGGAGAGCTCTGCAGCTGCACCTGTACATGGGAAAATTTGATCCTGGCTGAGCGGCTACGACAGAGACTGTAATTCATCTTCAAACACACCTTTTTGGCTCTCATGAGGCACTTAATCTACATCTCTCCACTCTGGCTGCGTAAATCAAGGACACCTGGCCCTTCCTGGCTTTTCACAGCATCCATCCTGAAAAAAAACCCCACAGGACTGAGCTGAGAAACACTGAAGGCTTTTGGATATTGTTCCAGGACACTCCGAGATGGCTGAATGTTCTTTCCTAGAGGGAAAAAACCCGAGACGTGGCAGACCCCGATACCTCCATCACACAACCTCTGGGGAAGCTGTCTCTCTGTGTGTTTTTGGAGGCCATGGACATTCCTGCAGCCAGGCTGCTCCTTCCAGCCCTCAGACATTGGCCCCCTCTCCCTGCAGCACTTATCTCCATCCACCTTCTGGCACTGTTTGATGGGTCACAGCCTTTTGGAAAGACCATGGTCTGCTCTCTTATTTTCTCAAAAGTAATAATTATCTGGGGTAAAACCAGACTGAATCTGAGCTGGCCTGAATTATTCCTGTAAGATAAACCAAACAGAAACTTTCCTGATCGGTTCAATAACGCTTGGGGTGTGTTTAGTCTTCATTCAAGAATTACACCATTCCGAGTTTCCTGGATTTAGCTAAGCCCAAAAGCGAAAGTAACAGATCAAAATACCCTGAAATAAAACTTCTAGGAAGGGTTTTCAGGTCTGGCTAAAGCCGTGTAGCTCTGGAAATCGCCGAAAGGCGTCTGATCTTTTGAGATTTCCATCCCTACTTCCAGAGCATTTAAGGCGCTTCCAAGCTCTTCCCAGCTTATCCTCGCGGTACCTCACAGCCCCAGCTGGACTCCTGCCCCATCATTTAGAGAAAACCAAGAGCCTTTCGAGGAAGGAAAGGCAGCCCATCCCGGCTGCTGGCAGGGATGAGCCGCCCTGGAGCGACGCTGCCGCAGCTCCGGGGCTGCTCCGCTTTCCCACAGGGATTTTTAACGGAATGGCAGCGAAACACGAAGGGAGAAGCTCTTGCTTCAGCTGGATACCTGTGGGGTAGCGTGTTCCTGGCTTGTGGCTTCCCCTCAAGCAGGGACTGGAGAGCACAGGCAGCTCCTTCCTCTCCCAAAGCCGAGCTGGCTGGAGGCCCCTTTCCTTTCCCTTCCCTTCGCTCTGACCAACCGCCGAGAAAAGAGGCTGCCAGTAAAACCCCCGACAGTAAAACATAAGCCATGAAGGTGACTGAGACTGAGTCAGGTGTGGATGGAGGCAAAGGGCTTTTGAGCAACCCAGGGGGGCACTAAAGGAGGCCACGTCATAAACATCCTGCAGTCCCAAGTGCTCCCGCTGGAACGGCACTGCCGGCTGCGCAGGCCCCTCAAGGATTCACTCGTCCTGGTGGCCTGGAAATTAGATATTTCCAGCATTAGGCTTGTCAGAGACCACCTTAAAATGTTTAGCCATTTCTCTCTCAGCTCCAGAGGCCTCTCCTGTGCTTTTTCCATGGTTTAAGTGGGAGCTCAGCAGGGGAAGCAGCGACGCACGAGGCCACGCAGCAGCAACATGTCTTGGTTCACTTGTGGGTTTTTTCCCTGTGGGTTTCTTTTTGTGTTTTAGGTTTCACTTCCCTTGCTGGAGTTGGGGATGAAGTGACAACCTGGGACTTGTGAGCAAACTCACTGCCCCCAGATCTGAGCCTGAAGGAGTACATGGGGAGAGAAGGGCTGCTCTCAGCAGGCTGTGCACTCGATGGAATCTGTGGCTGTGTCCTGTCCTCTCTTTTTGCTCCTGACTTTCCCCTGGCAGGGTGAATTGGCACAGCTGCCTATCAGAGGACTCATTTTGTCCCTATGCCATTAAATCCATCACTAAATTTACTGCACTCTTTTAGACTCCCTGTCATTTATACAGCACATGGGCCTTTGTGTCCAGACTGGCACCACCAGCTCCTGGCTGTGTCTATATGCATCTGCAAACACCTAAAAACTGAGATTCAATGAGCTTTTTCTGGCCCTGTTTACTAACAAAATCCACTGTTTCCATGGTGTGGGGTTATGTGAAGGAGCAGTGTCCTTTCAACCTGTCACTGCCCAGAAAGCATCTCCTCCAGCCACGGTCCGGGAGAGAGAATCTCCCAGCACTGCCAGAGCACACGTCAAATTTCATATTCTCCATCTGCTCCAGTAAAGGCTGAGCTGAAATATTAATTAGGAGATCTGATCCCTTCTCACCAGAAACAATCTGGATTTTATAGCCCAGGCAGAGGCCAGCAAGGCAGACAAAGCTCTGGGATACATCCTTTGCTGCTGGTTAACGGCTTTCAAGGAAACAAGGAACCTGGAGGGAGGACACAGACTGTAAAACATGTGGACATCTGGTCTGCTCTGTCCACCCTCCATCTCCCCCATGCTCACCCCCCACCTCCTCAGTGCATGTTCAGAGCAGAGAGAGGCGACTCCTCTAACATAAACAGCCATAACATGGCAATAAAGATTAATGAGTAAAACTTGCCATTTTATGTATAATCCGTGGGGATTTACAATCATTAATCTTTATTAGTGTGTAATAACTGTTTAGACATTAAGGACAGATTCTCAGCTGGACAAAACTGGCCTTAGTCCAGCCAAGCCAATGGAGCAATGCCAGTTTACACCCTCCGAGCTCTAAATGAGACCCATCCCATCTGTAGGAATCATATCACTAACAGTATTTCCCCAACAGCAGGGGCAGAGCAGTGAAGGCAACTATTTGTCTTTCCCTGTATCCGAAAAAGAGAGCTGCATGTGTCCAGGAAGCTCAACAATAGACATGTCAATAAACATGAGGAAATTCAATGCAAAAGCAACAGCAACAAAAGGAACCCCAAGGAGCAGGGAAGTGCATGATTTTTGAGGCAAGACTATAAGATCTGGTTTGGCAGGAGAGTAACTAAGAGGGATGTAGCAATCTTTGGCATGTGGAAGAGTGAAAGCACCAAGACGGGCTCCCAGAGTTCCTCTAAGAGGAACAAGATGGAAGAGAGAAAAAAAAAAAAAAAAAGAGCATCTTGGCTGGCTTTTCTGAGAGAGGAGTTTGGGGGTTGTTTTTAATAAAAAAAGAGGTCTATTAAACAAGGGAGCTGGTGGGAACCTTGTCTGAACTACATCAGACCAGCCACTAAAGCAATGCTCTGTTGGCCGAGCGGGATTTCCTCTTCCAGAATGTCCAGGGAAGAAGGGAAATGTGCAGGTACACACTTGGCTTGTAGCAAGCATGGAGAAATCCCAGCTAAGGCTGTGCATGCTGGGGTCTGCCCTCAGCACCAGGCACTGCTCCCTGCCTGGGCAAAGGGGCTGGCAGCCCCTTCCCACCAAGGAGCAGCAGCACTGACCCGACAGCACGTGCTGATCGACAGGGAGATCAACTGCAAATCTTTCTTGAGAGCTTTTTCTGAGTAGTGACCCATCAACTGCCTCCTCCATCACACAGGGGAGGCCACCTGCCTCCAGAAATGGTGTTCCACCTCTTCAACAAGTCAGAGCTGCCTCCTTCCTCACCAGTAAACCTGACACAAGCCAGGGAAAACACAGAAATACAGTACAGAGATATCTGTGTAAGGGTTTGTACACCTGGAAAAAACTCCAGAAGAGACGGGCATTGCACCCACTGCAGCAGCATGTACCTGGTGTTTAAAAACAGTAACCAGAAAATGCCCTCTTTCAGATTTAAGGGGCCAGTGGGCTCTTGGAGACCCAGAAAACAGCTTTCCTGCCAGTGACACTTCAGAGCTGTAGCGATGGCAAGGCCTCAAACATTCAGGAGATTGCAGGAACATCAAGAGCTGTAAGGTGGGGGGGAAAGAAGAGGATGAATATCATGCCCAGGGATACCCAGGGATGGGCTGTGCCTATTTCCTGCAGCCCAATAACCTGTGGCAGAGCAGAGAGACCCTCCCTGCCCTGCAAAAGGCTCCCTGTGCTGGAATCCATCCACGGCTGGTCCAAGTCACAGCTCAGTGCTGAGCTCCAGCAACTTTGCTCCCCTCCCTGCTCCCTGGTGGAGTTTGGGTTCTTTCAGGTTTATGGCATGAGACCCGTGTCTTTAAAAATCCCAGTTCAGGGCACTCCAACAGGCTGCCCACAGTCCTGTGCTGTGTGAACACAAAAGAGCTTTCTGAAGAACAGCTTTAAGCCTCAACACCTTGGCTGTTCAGGGCTTGGGACAGGCTTAATGTCCCAGCAACCATATCTGTCCAAGGCAAAGCTGTGCTTGTGTTACAGCCAAGCAAAGATCTGGGCAGTGACCAAAGGCTTTTCATCTCCACAGAAGTTACAATCAACTCAAAGAGAGAAGAGTCTGACTTTCATCCTGCAGCCCAGTGTTTTTGCAGAGCTTTTAAGCACACAGGAGTCTCTGGCTCTCCTCCCTGAGCCAAGGCCACCAGCTCAGGCTTCTCTCTAAGAAATGCCTGGGTCAGGCCAAGCTTTGTGTCCACACATGCCACGAGGGATGCATGGACAGACCAACAGCCTCTGCATTCTCCCCTCCACAGTGGTGATCCCTCAGATCACTGTTTTCATCCTCACACGGATCCACACTTACTCTGGGCTGACGCAAACGACTTTTAAAGGAACAAAGTCATGGAGAATGAGCAGGGAAGGGAAGTGATTTGTTGCCTGCCCTATTGAAATGTCATTAAAACAAAGGGATTAGAGGGCCCAAGCACTGTAAGAGCAAAAAGCATAAAAGCAAGCACTCAGCATGCAGTGTGGAGGCATGTAGGAATCCTTTTAGAGGGTTACTAGCTGCAGACAACACTGACATTAATTTTCTATTGGAAAACGCTGGTGACATTAATATCTGCTATTAATACTGAACTTTGACAGTATCTCATAAATTCAACCTGTCAATTACAATGGCACTGAAATAAAGGTGCTCTGAGGTCAAGGAGATGCGGTGTCCAAATGAGACTTATATTCCAGGAGAAAAGCGGCAAAAACAATCTTTAACAAAAGCATCAGATCCATATGTAGGAAAACCAAAGGGTGGTTTTAAATGTCATGTTTTTCAAAGCGAGAATTGATGCTGGAACCACGTCTATAAACTGGCTGGCTGGACTTTTAGCTGCAGCTGAGGACAATCAATCAAAACAGCTCTGCGACTCTGAGAAAGTGAGAGAGAGAAAACACACACACAGACACACCATGGAATATGAGAGGGCAGATTACGAGCCATGCGAGGCCTCTTAAAATTACACTGTGAAGTAAAACATCCTCGTGTTTCACCCGCCACAAAACACAACCTGAAAGGTTCCCCTCGGCACGGAGCGGGATGTGGAGCTCGGCGTGACCGAGGGAGGGGAACCTCCTCCCCCAAAGTCTGCACGACCTGTGAGCTGCACCCCAATCCCTGCAAGCCCTCTTAGAGCCCCCCCTGAGGGGCACAAGGGTTGATAAACCCCCGTGAGCAAAGCTCTCCTATCTCTTCCCGTGCGGAGCTGCCCCGTTTTCGGGTTCACAGCCACCCCCGTGGGCAGTGCCAGCCACGGCCGTGCCGGTGGCAGTGGCAGCCCAGGCACTGGCGGTGTCTGTGTGCGCCTTCCAAAGCGTTGGCGTGTCCCCAGCACCAGAGGTGCCACCGTTGGGGAACCCCTGCTCTTAAAATTCTGCTCTCCCCATCAGCCCTTCCAAGGGACCGCTTCCCAAAATACGCTCAGACTGTTCCGGAAGCCCAGCCCGCACCAGCGGAGTCTGGAGCTGCTAAACCAGGAGAGCAAGAGCTGGACCTCAGGCTGAGTCACCTCCTGCACAACGAATACTGCAGAGCAAGGCTAGTTTCTAGCTGGGGTTTGACTCTGACAGGCTGTGCCAAAGCGATGGATGGGGATGGGAAGCATGTGGAGGGGCAGGAGGCACAGGCAGTGCCCTTCACAGGGCTGGGAGAAGGAGGCCAAGGCCCTCCTGGCCAGGGGAGGCAGCTGGGCGGGTGTGGCTCAGTCCAACAGCGTTAAGCTGGAGCAGCCTCGCTCCAGCCCCACAACACCTCACAGTGCACAGTCCCCCCCTCTCTGGACAGTAACTGTGTGACCCAAAGGCTGAGTGATCTGTGTCTCCCTTCCCACCCCGACAGCCCCTGTTCTCCTGCCCTTGGTTGGCAGCTTTTCTCCAACAGCAACGAGGCCCTGGTAGGGGTGGGCTGTGGTGTCCCTGCATGGTTTCCAGGCTGCAGCTCCCACAGGACACACCTGCAGCCCATGCCAGAGCCCAGTGCTCCTGCTGCCTTCAGCATCCCAGCCAGAGCTGGACACAGCCCAAACCACGTGCCAGCACGGGCTCCTGGGGAGCACCAGCACTCCCAAAGTGTGGGCAAGCACGGAGGGATTGCTGCCCACACAGTGCCAAGGGCCCTAGAAACCAACTCTAAAGTATCCCATTTTTCACAGGCGTCATGCCATGCATCCTGTGATCCTGTCCCATCTGGAGAAGGAGAGAGGAACTCCCTTTTAGGCCCAAAGCAGCTCATCCCCAGCCCAAGGGAGCCTCGGGCACTGCAACGCTGCTGGGCCCGCGGGCAGGCGGGCACTGACCACGCAGCCCCCTCCTCACCTTTGTGCAACTCATCTGACAACCTCCTTCCCTCTGGGGCTTTTGTCCCAGACACCATCCCAGCGATTCCCACTCCAGACCCCATAACCTGCCCACTGTGAGGCCCTGGGACATGGGGCAGGGGCTGTCCCAGCTGGGGGCTGGCAGTGCCCCCCAGGCTGGGCTCGGAGCGCGGTGTCCAGAGAAGGGGCCCCGGGACCTCCCTTTCTTATACCTCACACTCTGTGAGAGCAGCTCGAGCAGCTGCAAGTCTTGCTTATAAATTCCTTTTACGATGCACATTAAATATTTTGCACAACAGAGACACTTCTCCTCTTCTTCCTCTTTTCCTCTGACACCTTTTCCCCCAGCGAAGCCCTACGACTGCTGCTTGCTGTGGCCTCATTTAGCATCATCATCGTCACCACGCACTCATCCTCATATAAAACAGAAATCTATTCCATCAAGCACTTAACATAAATATTAAAATAATGGAAGGGACAAAATATAAATCTACATACAACTTCATGACTACCATAGCACCTATTACCATGACAAAGCAAATTCTGGTTCACGGGGAAGGGAAGGGGGATGAGGAGCAAGTTAGGAAGAGGGACTTCGACTGTCATTAAATATGTAAATCACTCTTTTAAATTCTTTTTTTTTTTGTTGTTTTGTTTTTGTTTTAAGGTTACCAACCTTATTAAAATTCATTTCACTAACCAGCTCGTTCTATGTCACTATGGATACCAAAGAACCCTTTAAAAAACTTCGGCGAGGTGGGGGTTTCTCAGAATAAAAAAACAAAACAAAACAAAAACACGGCGACTTTCTGTTGGTGCTTCCATGACAAGTCCTGCCACGCGCCCCTCCCCTGCACCCACCAGTCCACAGAAGGGCAATTCATTTACAAGTCCAGTTCTCAGTCTCCCAGGATGAGCTTGACAAAAGAGGCGACGTCTGTCTCTTTGGATTCGTGCAGGGTGAAGAAAGGATGTTGCTGGGAAAGAAAAGAGAGAGAAAACAGCAAAGTTTATTATTCACGACGCTGAGGATCGAACCAAAAACCTTTTCAGACGACCCTCTAGACAGTGAAAAAGGGTTTGGCATCAGCACCATAATACTGGGCTTTCCATGTTTGCAGCTGAGGCAAGTCGGGGAGCCCCAGGGGCCACTCCAGGAAAGCTGCAGAGCTGTGCTGCCCTCATGGATTCCTTCTAAACCCTGGCCTGGCTGGGAGGGCTGAGCTGGGCTGCTCTCAGTGCTAAAACAGTGCCTCCATCTCTGGCACATCGTGCCCCTCGGAGCTCTGCTGCTCCTCCCAAGGCGGTGGTTACCCATCCCACCAGCTCCAGCAGGAGCAAGGAAAACCTTGCAGGAAGGTTGACTGCAGTGGGTTTTCCCTCAGCTTCCTGATCTATCTGTGTATTTACCCTCTGGTGACTTCTGAGTCTCATTTCTTCCCTGAATTGCTCCCATTTGCAGCAGGACATGGCTACGTTACCCCAGCCACCGCACAGGAAAGCCATCCCGACTGGAAAACCATCCGCACTTGTATGTTTAACTACTTAATCCTGACCAACATGGGGAGACATCCTGCCAGAAAATCTTGCCTACATTTCAGCACGAATGGAAAAATACGTGTAAGGAGGGAAAACACAACCAAACACCCCCTAACAGCAACAGAAGCCCCTCTCAACCAGCACCAGCGATTCCCTTTGGTACCGGGGGCTGCAACACATCAGCTGAGATCAGCCCACTCCCACCTGAAATCCCCAAAACGCTGCTTGACACCCACTGTCCTGGCAGAGAAGTGGATTTATTTGTACGGAGAGTGTCAGAGAGAACCAAAAACCAGCCAGGGCCCTGCAGGGCTCACAGTGACCTCTCTGTGCAAGGTTGGAGGAGCTCAGTTTGAATCCAGACCCTCTCATTTCAAGACAGGTTTTTAAAGACAATCTGGGATTTCCAGGGGTTTGTTGTTTTTTTTTTCAAGCTGCCCCCCCTCATCTCAGTCCCCAAGCACTAGCTGTTTCAATGATTGTTTATGGCAGTGAGAAGGGCAAAGAAAAGAGATTTTCCAAGGTGGGCTTGAGTGGAAAGTTATCGAGGCAGCTCTGAGGAGATGGGAAGCGACCCAAAGACACACCAGAAAGGAAGAGGAAGCACAATTATGTGGGAAACAGGGCTGAAATGGGTTGAGGCAAGGATCCAGGCAAAATTTAAGGTCTCCCTAGGTCAGACAGTCACAGGAATTGAAGCGTCCTGAATAACTGTGGGAGAGGTGACCTAAATGACCTGCCGTGTTATTATCCCAGCCTGATGCCGCTGCTTTCACAGCCCAGTGAAGTCACACCCAAAGCAGAGCTACCACAGCCTGGAAGCAACCCCAAGTGTGACAGGGGTGGCAGCAGTGACCTGCAGCCCCGTGTCCCAGTGAACCCAGCCCCTCTGCAGTGCCTGAGCCTGGCCAGAGCACAGAGCCCCCCGTGCCAGGCGGGATGTGCTCCACGCCATGTGCAGACCACCGGCCCTGCAGTAGTTTCACGCTCCACTTCACCTGGGGAAGTGGGTTTGAAAATGAAATTAAGCACCCATATCAGTTTTCCTGATGCTCAAGATAGCACAGAGTCATATTTTCCATGAGAAACCTCAATTCCACAGGAAAGCAAGGGAGCAGTCTTGGTCTAAATGACAAGTCCAATCCAGTACCGCAACTTAATGCCATAAGAGAGAGAAAAAAACCCCCAACAAAACAGCAACCCTCAACCACAGGACCTCACAACATTCATGTCAGCCATAAAATACCACAGCATTGAGATACTCCAGAGAGGTGATCCAAGAACCTAATTCAATAGAAATGCACTCGCTTGCCAGTGGGAATTAATGCTGCAACAGACGGAGCTGCTTCGGTGAACCTTTTTGATAAAAGGCCATTTGGCAAAGTTGAGAAATTTGCTTAAAATAAATATATGTATTTATTCAATAATATACCAAAAAAAGGGTGTTTTTTTTTTTTTTAAAAAAAAAGTCATAAACCTCGGGCCTCCCTTTGTTTGAAACCAGTACTTGGGCAAACTGTGTGTCAATCAGAGCTATATATAGTCTAATTGAATTACAGGGCCCAGCACGAAATGCCACGGGAATTATTCATTGCTCACAACTCAGGTTCAAGAGGTACGTGGATTTCCAGCACGACCTGCAGCCAGAGCACCCTAAACCCTGGCACCTTCACCCCTCTGAGCAGACAGCGTGAGGTGACAATGACACTGATCCTCCAGATGGCTTGTCCCAAGAATTACAGCTCGAGGGATACCAACACCTGAGGAACTTCTGCAGCAGTTGCCAGCCTTAACCCAGAAGATCTTCCCAGTGGCACCAGTAAGGGGTGGGAATGTAGGGACAAGCAAGCATTTGGGTCAGGATCTTCAGAAATAACAAAGTTAGGCACCTTCCTGCTTTTAGCAAGCTGTGAATCAGGTGAGAGTGAGAAAAAGGACTAGATGCCTACAGGAGTGAAACACCGACTTCCTAAACTCTCCTGCTTGTTGCCAGCTTTTAGGAGCACCAGGATCAATACCAGAGAATCAGAAGAGAGAGGCCATGAAGCTGTGGAGCCCTAGCAGAAAAGTCTGCCCAAAAGAACCTGTTCTTGCCAGCTGCAGCCCAGAGCAGTGGCTGAGCAGACCTCAGTGTCTGCTCTGAGAGCTCACCCAGAGCCCTGCCCTGCCCTGCCCTGCCCTGCCCCATCCCCAGACTTTATTGGCCTTTTCTTCCTCAGTTATTCCTCTGTCCCAGACGTGCTCCCAGCAAACAGTCTCTAAGCAGCAGATAAAATTCAATAACCGGAATTATTAGTCACAGACTCGTCTCTGTCCCCAACATCCAGGAACTACTCTGTCCAAAAAGTCTCCTCTCCAAGGCACCATAGCAGTAAAGCCCAGGGCACTCAGCTCCTGCAGCCCATGTGGAGCATCCAGGGCACACTGAGGTGTCTGAATCCATCACACAAACCCAAGAGGAGGATTTTGTCCTCACTGATTCTTCACAGCCTCGTTCTTTTCCCTTAGCAAATCTATTACCTGCTTTTACCAATTTTTCTCCCTTGATGTGACTGGAAAAGCACCTGAATGAGATTTCAAAGAGCATCTCTGACTGGCAGTCACCCTCACAGGACCCTGAAGTGTCACAATTCTCACGTCTGTTATGAAAAAGGAGATGCTAAGCATCCCAAATCCTCATCATTACTGGAATCTTTGCCTTCAGCATCTCACTGTAACCCACTGCAGCTCTGAACCAACACACTGCTTGATGCAGCCACACTCACCATAAGCTCTGGGTATGTTGGCCGTTCTTTGGAATTCTTCTTCAAGCTTTAGTGGAGAAAAAGAAAAAGAAGAAAAGATTAAAAGTTACATTCTGTCTGCAATTTAAGCCATAAATTTATACCATGAAAAAAGCAAGGTTTCAAGCCCCTGGAGAATAAGTTCAGCTACTCATCCGTGCTGAGCAAACTTAAACCTTGAAGACACCTCAGCCAACATGATCAAGGCCAGTCAGATCAATCAACACAGGGCTGGGTACACAAGTGCTTTGAGCTCAGGGTCAAACAGGACCTGGAGACACCACAAGCACCAGTTAAGACACTGCCTGTTGCTGGTGGTCAGGCACAACTGGGTTTTTGGGTGCCCTGCAGTAGGCCAGTGACTAAGGGAATGGATACAGCCTGCAACCTCTGACTGGGAGCAGTGACTGAGTGGCTCCAAAGCACGTGTACAACTGTTTGTTTATCCCCGTGCCGTTATCAGCGGGGACGGTTCCATGGGACATCCTTTTTTTCTCCTCTCCTACAACAGATGGCTCTGGAGGGTTGTAGCTGGGAGCTATTTTGGTTTCCCTCCAGCAGAAAATAGCTTTTTTTAAAAAGACAGGACGTAATCTCTACTCACTTCCTGGCAGTGTATTTAGGGGAAAGACACTTGGAGCAACTTGAAAAGATCTTCACACACGTACACGGCGGTGGCGGGGAAAAGGTGTCACACTGAGCAAAACAAAAGTGAGAACCTCGGCGATGATAAGTCGCTCCTCTGCTGGGATTTGCAGGAGCCCAGAGGAAGCAGGGGACACACACTGAATAGATATTTCCTGCTTGCTGTGTGTAGAGGGCTCGTGTTCAGTGTCATGTTGTGAATGGACAGAGGAACCGAGGGCCGATACGTGCCAACACCGCCGAGCTGAAGGTAACGGGATGTGTCACATCCTCTGAGCTCCACAGCAGCCCCAGCCAAGATGACAAGGTGAATTTCAAGGTTAGGTGTGCCCAGATTTGGTATAATCCTCTTAATTTAGACCCTCTGTGAATAAAAGCCTTGCTCCTAGGTTATTAATACCAGGAAATCTGGTGACAAATTACTGAAATCGATGTAAATTTTCAGGAATTAAGAGTCATACTGGGATCTGATCCTGACTCAGACATCCCAGGAACCTTCCTGCAGTGGATACAGGTGATCAGACTTCACTGCCCCAGGCAGCAGATGGATTAGACACAGAACCAAGCCAGGCTTGATACACTGAGTGGATGTGACCTGGTTTGGTGACAGAAGAAATTCTCAGATTCCAGCAACGCAAAACTAGTGCAATCTGCAGCCAAACTCCCTGTTCTGAGTCCATGCCACAATGCTGGCGTTGACAGATCTTCAGTGATCCTGAAGGGCAGGATTTGCAAAGAGAGGAATCGCCACATGCTCCCCAAAGTGGCCGTGGATGTAACTCCTAAACCAGCCACAGCTTGAGCTGCAGGACACTGGGCTTGCAAGAGCAAATCACTCAGTGAGGAACAGCCTGCCTGGCACAAACAGGCAGCTTGGCAATAACAACCAGCATGGGAGGACAGCAGCTGGTCCAAAACCTCAGCGTGGGCCTTGCGAGAAAGGTGGGCATTTTTGGGGGGGGGTTTCCAAGGCAGCTCCCACCTCTCCAGACACAGAGCAGTGTGGGCATGGCAGGCATTCCCCAGCACGGGTTGGTGGGGAGGCGAGGAGCTGAACCACAGGGACATGAAAACATGTTTGGACACGACTCCCAGGAATCCCAACGCCGGCACTGAGAGTCCCCGGGCAGGAGCGGCTGCTAATCCCCTTCCTGGGTCACGGCAGAGCCGGCCGGGCTCTGGCCCCGACCCTGGCACTGGGGAACAGTCTCACATTTCTGTATTTGTCGATGTGCCGTCCTTTCTTGGCCACCACACAAACCCACCATCCACCTGCCAACTTGGCAGGCGGCGCGTGGCACTGCAGCGCCTGGAAAATCCAGCCGCCTCCCCGGCGGTTCCAGGGAGCTGGAGGGAGCGGCAGTCAGGAGCTGCGGGGCAGCTGCCAGCTCTGTGAACCACGGGCTGAGGGCAGCTCTGAGCCTCCCCGGGCGCTGCAGAGCCGGAGCTCTGCACGGCCCTCACAGCTCCAGACAGCAGCGTCTGCTCCAGCCCCATTCCTGCGCCGCAGCCAAACTCTCCCGCTGCTTCCAGCGCCGAGTCCTGTGGAAAGCAGAGGAGCAGCAGCTGGAGGGCCTTGGGAGTGGGGCAGAGTCTGACAGGGGCCACCACGGGGCAAACTCTGCCCTCAGAGCTGTGCCCCCTGCGAGTGGAAGCAGGAGGAGGCGGCCATTCCGTATCCTGCTCCCCCTTCCAGCCGCAGGGACATGAGGGGGCTGGAGGAGCCCCCTGTCTGCACCTGCCTGTGCACACAGGAACCCTGTGCTGCTGCTGGGGGGGCAACCAGAGCCTCCTAAACCCCTTCCTCCTCCCCAAAACGGACCGAGCCTGTTCCTCACCACCTCAGGCAGGCAGACCCTCACAGCCACCATCACCACTGCTCTGCCCACACAGTGCCAGGCACCCACCGGGCCCAGCGAGGGCACATTCTGCCCAAAACCCGGGTTTGTGCCCCCAGGAGCTGCCTGTGGGGACAGGGGCGCAGGATGCCACTGGGCAGGTGTGTCCCCCAGCCTCCCCCAGCACGGCAGAGGCCGGGGAGGTGTTTTACCATTGCGAGGTAAAATCGACGAACTCCGCTGAGAACTTCTCCGCTGGGAGCTGCGGCGACGGCTCCTCCACCACCTGCTTGAGCTGCTGGAAGGGCGTCCCCCAGGAGTCGTAGGGAAAGCGCAGGATGGCCAGCTCGATCTGGGGAGGCACGGCCCACACCTCAGGACTGGCACTGGACACCCCACAGCCCGCCCGCCCCACGGATTTTGGACTCCCGTGTGCCCCACCCTGGGGTGTGGGGTTTTTTTAGGTTCCACACAAATTGGAGGGCTGGATCACTTCTGCTATGGAGATGGGCTGAAAGATCTGGGATTGTTCAGCCTGGAGATGGGAAGGCTCCAGGGAGACCATAGAGCCCCTTTCAGTGCCTAAAGGTGGCTCACAAACAGGAGGAAGAGTGACTTTTTACATGGGCAGACAGTGATAGGACAAGGGGGAACAGTTTTAAACTAAAAGAGGAGAGATATAAATTAGAAGTTAGGAGGAAATTCTCCCCTATGAGGGTGGGGAGGCCCTGGCACAGGTTGCCCAGAGAAGCTGTGGCTGCCCCATCCCTGGAAGTGTCCAAGGCCACGTTGGACAGGGCTTGGAGCAACCTGGGCTGGTGGAAGGTGTCCCTGCCCATGGCAGGGAGTGGAACAAAAGCAGCTTTAAGGTCCCTTCCAACCCAAACCACTCTATGATTTCCTCACAACCCTGGCCATAACATCTTGCTTAACCTCCCCTAGCAAAAGGGAGAGGCCAGAGGAGATCCACATGGATCCATACTCAATTCCCTGTTACCCCTATGTCCGACATCACCCAGGAAAGAAGAAGTTAAAACCAGCCCCACGCAGCACAGGGTAACTGTGCTGTAAAACGACTTTGTGAGCAGATGGATTCCCCCTAAACACTGCATGGGAGACACCTCCATCCCTGCTCTCCTGAGGGGGACTCTGCTAATTGCTGAGTGCTGGGAGGGCGTCTTTGTGCTTGGAATCCAACCTGCTCCAGGCGCCAGACGCCTGTGCCTTAGTCCATGCTGCCATCTCCTGGCAGCTGTGGCAGCAAGGAGCTCACAAAGCATCTCCATCCTCCTTCCCTTCAACCCTGCAGCACATTCCCTTGTCCCACCGGAACTGTATTCCCATTCCCAGCCCGCCACCTTCCCAAGGAACCGGTGCCACCGGTGCCAGCAGGGCTGTGGGGTCACCCTACCATGGTGATGCCCAGGCTCCAGATGTCGGATTTGACGCTGTACCCCTTCTGGTTCAGCTCCGGGTTGATTCTCTCAGGCTGTGAAGAGAGACAGAGGTGGGTGAGGAACAGGGATGGTCCCAGTGCCATGCCCACACCCAGGGCTCACCAACCTCAGCGGGGGCTTTTAGGGGGGCTCTTAGCACAGGACCCCTCAGCCCACAACACCAGGCTGCTCTCTTGGTTGTTGTGGAGCCAAACCTGGCCTCCCATCCTCACCAGTAAGGGCAGGCAGTGAAACGGGTCACCAGAAGCAGGTGGCACCTGCACCAGGGACTGGCATGGTGGAGGTGACCTGGCACAGCTGGCACGGAGGGGTGACAAGCCTCAGTTCTCCAGGACTGTTTTCACCCCGTGCAAGTTCCCCACAAAGGGTGAATCCCGTAGCCTGAGGGACCCAATCCCTGGGGACTGTTTTTCCTCCCAGATGCCAAGTACTATTGTCCCCATGAGGCAAACACACAAGAAGGAGCAATTCCAGAGCATTTCCCAAGGTCACAGGGAGGAGAGAAGGCAGCAGGAAGCTGTGCCCAGGAGACCCACGAGATCCGACTCCCACTCTGCCCCTTTACAAGGGATACATCTTCCCAAAGGAGTTCCCAGGGCACATGCCAGAGGCTGATCCTTCCCCCCGAGCTCAGGTTCCTTTGGCTGCTCCCCACGCAGCTTCTCCACGGCTCAACTTACAGCCATGTAGGGTTTGCATCCTGCATCCATGGTTTTAGCAACCGAGTCGACGAGGTAACCGCTAATGCCGAAATCGCACATTTTCACCTGCCCCTGCGTATTGATCAACACGTTAGAGGGCTTTACATCTGCAAGAAGGAACACAGACCACAGTCACTGTCACACGTGGGTGCCTGGCCAAGCCAAAAACAGCTGAAGAGCTTCCTATCAGCAGAGGGCACCCAAGGAGCCCGTGCAGAGCCCCGAGCCTTGGACACGACACAACCCAGCTGGCTGCACGTTCAGGTGACAACCCCACGAGCCTGTCACGCGTTCAGGTGACAACCCCATGGGCCTGTCATGCGTTCAGGTGACAACCCCACAGGCCTGTCACGTGTCCTGACAGTGTCCTTTCACTTGCAGGCTCCCCTCTCCAGTTTGGGGAAGCAGGAGGTGACCCTGCACGGAACCATCACATCCCACTGCATATGGGAAGGCCACAGACATTGGAGTAGCTCCACAGGGCTGGGAGCATCTCTGTGAGATGTCTGCAAAGGGCTGCAGCTCTGGCAAGTCCCCACAGATCTGGCCTCGTGCCAGCAAAGGAAAAAACCATGGAGGAAGCATGAGGAGTGGGCAGGAAAGGGTGAAAGGGAGCAGGGGGTGCAAGGAAGGAGGGAGCTGTAACTAAGACAAGGACCAAGATTTCAGAAATGGGCTCTGATTTTGAGGATCCCAGGCCTGGTGGCAGCGTGAGCAGCAGCAGGTGTGTGGGTGCTCCACACCTTATGGAAATCAGGCCAGTGTCTCATCTATTTATTACTGCCAGATTTATCTGCTTCCCATCACGGCCTCACAACCCCTGGTGTGTTCACACTTGCAGCACGTTATAATCCCCATCAGAAAGGGAAATAAAGGCACAGAAAGATGCCAGGAAGTGATATCCAGGAGAGCAAGGAGTTGCTTTCCTGCACAGCAGACAATTGCTCCATGAGGATAATCCCAAATGAAATCCCAACACAGCAGAGGTGACTCCAAAGGGAGCAATCCTTTCCCTGCTGCCACCTAGAAACCCCAGGTCTCTTCTCCTCTGTCTGCATGTGAGAAGCTATTTAATACAAGGCTGAAACACCATCTGAAGGAGGCCAGAAGCTGCTTTTGAGTCCTGCTTATTAGAACTGGGTGGTTTACAGCTCATTAACATCTGCTCTCTTATCAGCATTCTGCAATCAAAACCCTCAGGTATGAGATCCTCACCCATCTGTTACTAGGCTGAAATAAGACAATTTTTCAGTGGAAATCAAACAAGTAAACAGAAACACAAGCAGCACTTTCCACCTCCTGTAAATGATACAGAGAGGGCAGAAACTCAACTCCCAGCCACAGGCAGAATGTACCCAGTGTGGCTGCCTGCTCCAGCTCAACTCTGCTGCTTCAGATGCTCCTTCCCAGGCACTCACACACTCCAGGGAGGGCTTTTTCCTCCTCGTGACAAACTGAAAATGACCCTTTGAAAAATAAAGGTGTCAAGCAGCAACTTCAAATTTGCTTCTTTCCAAGTGTGTTCATGGCATCTGTGAGATGCTCTAGAGGGGAAAATGTCAGAAGAGCTTAAGGAGGGTATTTATGATTTCACTGGAGGCTATTTTAGCTATCAAACTGCTCTGCTCCACCAGTGCTCAGGGAAGGGGAGAGGATGGGTAGATCACTGCATGAGGCATCACTCTGGCACGGAGATGCCTCTCCCTGCACATCAGCACAGAACTGGGGGAGAAACCTTGGCAAAGCCTGGTCCAAAGCTCACCAAGCTCAGGAGGAGAATGGCTGAATTTCACAGAGGTGCTGAAGCAGACCACGGATTTAGGGAAACGGGGCAACCAGCACAACCAGGCTGGAGCTCACTTCTCCACCTCAGGGAAAAGCTGGGACCAGCAGGCAGTTTCCAGCAGCCATTTCCTCTGACTGGGTTTTGCTGCAAGTCATGAGATGCCGGGGAACAGTTTTGCTGTCAAAGGCCCATTTTATCTGGGGTGTTTTGGGAGCCCTTGCCAGGCTGAGAGCAGGGCAGACAGACAGACAGACAGACCCCAGCATGGCCAGGGCTGTGTGCCTGGCACTCACCTCGGTGGATCACGGAGAGCTTACTGTGGAGATGTTCTAGTGCTTTTACAATCTGAAACAACAAATGCAGAGTCAATCACGGCTGGCAGCACCTTGGGGAGGAGGAAATGACATCTGGCTTCACCCCATCAGACCTGCCTGGAGGGTTTCCCACAAGTCCTGCACCCTCCCAGCAGCCCAAGGTGAGGGTGGGTGCCCAGGGATGTCCCAGGACCCTAATGAGAAGGCAAAGGAGCTACAGGACCCTCCCCACATTTCATGCTGTGTCGTTTTTTCATTCCATGTACAAGCACTTTTTGGATTATTTACAGCTTATAAATAACATCATCTCAGACCTGATCCTGGAAGCCAGCTGGGAATGGCCACATGGGCTGTGGCCCATGGACCATGCTCTTCCTGGTGCAAACAGAGCAGGGAGCTTGGGTCATGTAGGACTTGGCTCAGAAGAAAAACCCCCTTTCCCTCCCCTCCTCACCCTGCTAATACTCACAGAGACGGCGATTTTCCCCAGGATGTCCTCGGGAATTGTCAGGCCTTTGTCAATGACATGTTTGTAGAATTTGTCCAGTGAGGTATCCATCAGCTCCATGCAAATCCACACGTCTCCCTGGAAAAAAAGCAAGCAGATATCTGCCTACTGGAACCAAGCCTCCTTTCCTTCCTTGCTTTCCTTTCCTGTCCTGTGCAGGTTTTCCTTTCTTTCTTTCCCTTCCTGTCCTGTGCAAAGCTCTTTGGCACTTGCCCTTTGCTGACCTGTTTGCTTCTTCCCTGTCTTTTAAAACTCATTCAGCAAAACTCTGCTGGGCTTTCCTTTCCCTCCTCTCCAGCTGGAATTAGGTGCTGTCCACATTCCCTACCATTTAGGGTGTGTTTTTTGCTGTCTTTTTCCCAAAGCAGAGTCCTGGTGATTTAGGAGCCCAGAAAGTTATCGGAACTCAGGCTCCTAATGCCCAGCCAGGAAAAGTTCAGCTCTGCAGGGTTACGCTTAAAGCTCTTCAATAAATCCTGCTTCTCAGAGCTTTCCACATTTTCCCTCCCTGTGACTTTCTCATCCCAAGCCAGGGCAATATTAACACCAGAGGACCAGGCTGTGGGCTGGTGGCCTCGGTGCCCGGATGCCCCCAGCACTAAAACTCACTGTATGTGACAGATCCTGGGCCAGGACTGAGCAAATCCATATTGTACCAAGTCCTGTGTTTAGATGGACATTAAACCCCTGGCACCTGGAGGGATGGGAATTCAGAGCCTGGGAGAAGGGGCAGCAGGGCTCAGCCCCAGGATTCCGTACCTCTCGGAAAAGTGCCCCGTAAAAGGTGACAGTGAAGGGACAATCCACCGTCCTCATGGAGATATCCAGGTCCATCAACAACCTCTTCTGCTCCTGGCTGTTCACCGTGGCTCGGATCCGCTGGAAAACAGGGAGTGTCAGTGGTGACTGCCAGCACCTGGGTGCCACAGCCACACCGGGGCTGGCCACGGGGCCCTCACACCCCCCCTGACCCTTCCAGCACACCCCCTGGGCCCCCTGTTATCACACAGGCACTTCACAAGCCCAGCACCCACGGCAGGAGCACGGGGATCCTCCCTCTTCCCTGCAAACACCTCTCTTTGCAACGGCCAAAAGAAATGAGTGTTGGCAGAGGAGGCAGGAGCAGGAGATCAGACTGTAGGGTGGTGGAAAGCTGTGATTTTGGAGCTGCAGTGGACATCTGTTACAGCAGGGCTCCAGCCCTGCACCAGAGCATGGAAAATGGGCATTTCCCAGTCTCCCAGGAAGAAATGTCATTTATGGGATATACCTGGAGACCCTCAGCTGGGAAACGCCACAACAGGGCATGACACAGTCCAGCATGGGTCACACACAGATTCCAGGCTCCCTGGCCAAAGCCCCTCGGGGCCAGTAATGGCACAGAATTAAACTGTTCAGCATCACAGGCAGCCTGAATGCTCCTGCCATACCCTGTTCAGATCTTCCATCACACTCACAGGCATCTTTTGCACTTTGGTGACCAACAAAGCAAACAAGAAGACCAAATGCAGAGCACAGAGGCCCTGAGGAATGTCCCACCCAGCACCCACAGCAAAGTCTATCCACAGCTGAGGAGCTAAGAGTTTTCCCTCAGTTTGCTCACAGCTTCCAACTCTGCATCTCTTTTTTTTCTTATTCAGAAAGGAAACTTGAGGGAAAATTCAGCCAAGCAAAAACTGGTCCTACCCAAACTACAAATTTTCCCATGACCATTTCCCTAAGCTCCAAATTTATGAGTCTAAGCTGTTGTTATGAAAACTTTTCATAATAGCACCTACAGGCCTGCCATGGATCAGGATCCCACTGCAGCAGGCAAAATGTGAAAATCCCAACAAAAATTTCCCCTTCCAAATAGCCTAAAAAAAAGTCCCAGACGGAGAAAATTCTCTTATGCAACTGAATTTGCTCTTCTTTACAAAGTGCAGAGCCCTGAGTCTGAGGGCACGGCTACATCAGAAAAAAAAATGTTTGTTTAAAAAATCACGGCAAAGAGAATTCTAGGGAGACAGGGATATTGTGGATGAAGGTGAGTGATTAATGCACTGCAGTGCTGGAAACACACTGAGCATCATAGTTTTAGAACACACCCATTGGCTGAAAGGCCTGAATCTCTCTGAGCACTCTTTGAACCCCTCGAGCTCAAAACTGTCCTGGGGGGTTTTTTTGACTGCTATTTTTTCAGACCATCAGGTGGACTGCTTTTCCATGCCGTCAGAAGGATCCAGGACAGCAAGATCCACCCTGAGTCAGACTCCTGAGGAGAGATGGCCTTCAACATTAGCAAAGGGAAACACTTTGGCTGAAGGCTTTAAACCAGCAAAGGAACTGCAGAGAGTAAAACACCGTTAGAGAATGTCTGTAGAAAGAAGAGTTTCACGAGGAAAGAAGCAAAGCAAAGGCAGTAAATCTCAGCAAAGGCACGTGTGAGAAGAAGTGAGATGAGAGCTGTGCCCACACACCCCAACAGAGACACGAAGCCCCCCAAAGGCTCACTCTACCTTCACTGCCATGATCTGCCCGCTGGGCATGTGCCGCATCTTCTCCACCACCCCGTACGCACCTCGTCCCAGCTCGGAGATGGGCTCCAGGTCATCGGCCTTCACCTCAAAGTTCTGGGGGAGAAAAAACAGCAGGTGGCCATGGCTGTGCAAGGGGAGAAATGCCCCCCAAACCCAGCCCTGCCTGGGACATCCCCTCACCCTGTGAGTCCCCTCCCCAGGACACACAATCGCTGTTCCGCAGGGTCACAGAACTATGGAGTGATTTGGGTGGGAAGGGACCTCAAAGATCATCTTGTTCCACCCCCTGCCATGGGCAGGGACACCTTCCACCAGCCCAGGTTGCTCAGAGCTCCATCCAGCCTGACCTTGAACACCTCCAGGGATGGGGCAGCCACAGCTTCTCTGGGCAACCTGTGCCAGGGCCTCCCCACCCTCACAGGGAAGAATTTTTCCCTAATATCCAATCCAAACCTACTCTCTTTCAGTTTGGATCTATTCCCTCTTGTCCTATCGTTACATGTTCTTGTCTTGTCCCTCCCAGTCACCTCCAGCTGGCAGCACTTTCAGCCTCTCCATCCTCTAAGAGCTGGGATGGAAAACACCACAGCAGCTTCTCCCCTGAGAACCACCTTCAGTCTTATTTTAATATTTCTTTTTCCTTCCACCCTCTTCCCCTGGGAAATATCTCCCAGGTTTTTTTAAAACCTGTAAAAGCTTATTTCTCCAGACCTGCAGATGGGCCAAATACCAGCTGAGTGTGCCCTATTTTCACACCACAGAGGAGTTATTTTGTCTTTCATCTCTTTCTCCTGGCCTTCCCCAAAGGATGACTCTGGACCCTGCATCCCAACCTGCCCTTCTCCCTTTCTGTCGGGATATTGTGCAGCCGCTCTATTTTTATTATTTTTTTTTTTTGGATGTTTAAAACATGCCTTTTCCACTAAACCCAGCTATTCTGTTTGCTGAAGGCACAACCACATCAGTCAGTCACCCTCCAGAAGGCAGGGGGTGAGAGTGAACTGATTCACAGGGAATAATCCCACGTGGCTTTTTGCTGGCACAGCAGAAAAATTCCTGCAGCCTGCAGTGGCTGGGGATGCCACGGGGAGCAGGGATGCACTGTGGGAATGTGCACGAGGAGCCCTGACTAACATTTTGGAGTGACAGCAGAGATTTAAGCATCTCTGACACTGCTCCTGCTGTTCACGAGGACCCTTCTCCAAAAAAGCACCTGGAGCGCTCTCTTCAAACAAGCAGCAAAGTTTTAAGGGAGAGGAGGGAAAAGTGGCTTTCCCTCGGGATCAGGGTGAGTGCAGAAAGGCTGGTGGAAGAGGGAGCCCATCCTAAAGGAACCTGGCTGGATAAACAAGTAGCAGATCCATGGGAAATGCAAGCCATGGCACGCCAGTCCCTCTGGAACAGGCCTGTAACACACTGAGCTCTGGGGTTTATGAGTGTGTTTGTCTTTGCACCATCCAGCACTGCCTCTGTGCACGGAGCCTTTCTGGAGCACTGGAGCCTTTTCTCATCCCTGGGACTGCAGGGGAGAAAGGATTTTCTTGGAGCCTTGCTTGCTCTAGCAGCAGGCAGCATTTTCTCTGCCTCCGTGCTGCACAGTTTTGCTCCAGAAGCATCTCACACTGTTTCCACCTTCCAGCCCCTGCTCCATGCCAGGGAAAATACAAAATGAAAGAGAAGCAATCCAAAGATATATATTATAAAACACTATTGGGTTAGCATTTCACTTCATAAATTAACTCGCTGACACCAAGGCCTACCTTCTGCACCTAATAAATTTGTTGTCCAGTTTTGAAGTGCTTTTATGGGTTCTGTTCTGCCCTTTTTTTTTCCTATCAAAATAACTGTCCTGGGTTTTGTTTTTTTTCCCTGCTATTTTTTTTTCAGACCGTCAGGTGGACTGCCTTCCATGCTGTCAGAAGGATTTGCTTCCAGGACAGGAAGATCTACCCTGAGTTCGACTCCTGAGGAGAGATGGCCTTCAATATTAGAGAAGGGAAACACTTTGGATGAGGGCTTTAAATCAGCAAAGGAACTGCAGAGGAGAGTAAAACGCTCTGTTAGCAACCCCCTCGCTTTGTAATCGTTATTTCCAGGGGATTAGCTGCACCTTGTTGCAGCAGGGAAGGAATTTCCAGGGTGGAAAATATGAAGGGAACCCACATGCCAAGGGAGGCAGAGGGGGAGTGTTTGGGGCATGTTCATCAGAGCAGTGCCAGCCAGTAGGTCCCTCTGCAGCTGGCCAAGGGGCCACACTGGTGTCCCACACACACAGCCCTTGCTGCAGGAGCACAAACACCAGATGCCAGTCAGATATTTTAGGCTGGAGGTGGTTGTCAGGGCTCACAAGCCCCCAGAGCTCCCAGGCTGGCTCTTCTCAGCTTTTATTTATCCAGCAACTGCCTTCCATTTCAAGCAAAATGGGCTGTGTTGTTTTTAATAGCTGGTATTTATTAATCTACCCTTTTTTTGGGGGGGGGCTGAAGTGATGGTCACCCAAAGGTCCCCCAGCCTTACCTCCTCGCCAATAGAGATGCAGGCTTTGGAGTCTAGATCTCTGGGTGGCCTGAAGAAAAGAAGAGGGAAAAGATGTGAAATGTGCCTTAAAAAGATCAATCTTCCCTCAGTGAATAAATATAATCCCCATGGTCCCCCAAGCCATCCCCTCACACCTTCACCCAGCAGCCCTTGAAGTCCTGAGCAGCCTTAGTCTCCTGGATCAACAGATACAGCCAAGATCCACAAAGGCACCCCAAAAAGGGCTCAGGAAGGAACTGCTGGACTCAGCATTTCTCACATCCAACTTCCCCGTGCAGGAACCCAGAGAGATTCATTGTGAAAGGCAAGGCAGTTGGCAAGCAGCAAACCTCTGCCAGCCTGTATGAAAAATGGACTAAACGGGCATAAAGGTCTAAACCCAGTGTAAATTATTACCTCAGCCACACAGCACATGATAACAGGCTAAAAAAAGTGAATTCCCAAGGAAGCAAGGAAAGCCAGGCTGGCTGGAGCTGCACAGATTGCCTCAAAAACAGAGGGTTTCCTTTTGCAAGGCTGAGGACGTAGAGAAGGGGACACATTTTCATGCCTTGACCAAATGCATGTTATGCAAACTGGGTGGTCAGAGTGCCACATGAGTCAAAACTGGGTGGCCATTCTGCTTTTTGACTTTTCCTGCACCATTAAGCAGCACATGAGATTTAGGGATATGATGGGTGCAGGTGATGGGGCTGAGATGCCCTGGTTGCACCTGAGAAATACAAGGGCTGTGAAGTTACTATCCCACAATCCTGGAATGGTTTGGGTTGGAAGGGACCTTAAAGCTCATCCAGTCCCACCCCCTGCCATGGGCAGGGACACTTTCCACTCTCCCAGGTTGCTCAGGGCCCCATCCAGCCTGGCCTGGGACAGTTGCAGGCTCCAGCAAAGGCTGGAAGCAACTGGGCTTTGTGGTTTTCTCCTCATTCTGCCTTTAGTGTTTGCAGACTTACGTGGAGCTTGTCTGTGGTTGCTCAAATGCTTCTTTAGGAATTTTCAGCCCAGGGTTTCTCTTCTTGCCTGTGAAACAAGAAAGAGGCAGAGTTAAAGAAAGGCACTTTTTTTTGTTGTTGCCCTTGTTGTTGTGATTTGTTTTGGGTTAATTTGCAAAACCCAGCTTGTCTATATTTGTTGACCTTATTTAACATAAATGCCTGGCCAGGCTGATGGTGTAGACTCAGGGCACAGAGTTCAAACATAAAGTGCCTTTGTTCAGTAAGTCTTCATTTAGACCTGCAAGGCCTGGCTGCCAACTTGGTACAGAAAACAGGCAAAAGCTCTGGCAAAGGCAGAAAATGCAAAGGGAGAGGTATTTCTCCTCCTACCCACGCAGGATCCCTTAAAATATTCCTCAGATTTTAAACCATGACAGATACCTAACTGCAAACCCTGGTAGCATTAAAAATCTTTTTTTTTGAATCGAATCTGAAAGTCCAGATTCTGATTCCGGACTTTCTGGATGTTTAACTGGATGTTTCATCTCCTGGTCATTAAAGTTGTGCAAACCCAGCAAAAATAAAGCAGAATTAAGTTTTGCAGGCTTCAAAGGTGTTTGTTTCTGTTCACACTGACCAGCCAAGCTTTTCTGAGCTGGATGCAGCTCAAGCTCTCAAGGAGTTCAGCTGCAGCTCTCCTGTAAAGGGGGTCCAAGCAGGCACACACAGAGCCAGGCAGAGAGCAGACAAACACAAGAACCTTTTTATGACTGCACATATACAGCCACATTTCAGCAAGGGGTTTGGAATCCAGGGATAAAATAACCTGGGAACATAAGTCATGTCACCAAAACCCCAAGGTAAACATCTGGCTGTGTAAGAAAATCCCTGGTCCCCCCTCAAAAAGGCACAGGCATCTAATTTAGGTGTTTGACATTTTCAATCTAATAATTTGTATCAGTTACTGTCTTTCTTTTAAGCAGGAGTTTTACCCTCTATTCCCAACACTCCCTCTCAAACTTCACCTATCCATGTTCCAATCTGTTTTTCCTTTTGACACAGACTCCTGTCAATAGATGCCTGTGAATCCCAGTGCCAGAGGGGTGCTGGATCAAAGTGCAGGCACCCAGGATGGAAAATGACCTTTAGGAATCAATTAGTCAGCCGTTAATATTATTTTTTTTATATTTTTTTTCCTTGTCTGCTCCAAAAGATGGGATCAGGCTCACTCCTTTTGGTAAAGAGTCATTCCAGGATGGGACAGCATGGAAGAACCCAGCTGACACCTCAGGGGAAAAGAATTTATTGGAAACCCCTGTGCACACTCACTGTCAAGATTAGAAATCAACAGAGCTGTGGATTTACATAAAGGGCAAAACTGGAAAAAAAGCTAATTCTCTGCTCCCAGGAACTTCCAATCTAACACAGAAAAGGCAAAATAAAAGCAGCAATGTCACTCACAAGCACAAAGAACAGCCCTGTCTTCCCAAGAGGTAAAAGCTGGTCTGTGAGGAAGTAAAAATGATGCTAAAACCCAGTGGAGGAAGTCCTGCAGTCCTGTGACCCTTTTCCTTCTAGTTTTCGTAGTTGAACTACACAGGCACCCAGAAGGCACAACTGAGGAGCAAGCCCTGCTGTGCTGGATGCTCTGGATTCCATTCCTTGCCCAAGCTGTGCCAAGTGCCCCTCGGATCCATCGGGATGCTAAATGGGTAACAGTGCTCTGGATGGTGGTGTGGCAGCTAAAAAAGGAATCCCAAAAATACAGGTCTGGCAGTGCAGGCAAACAAAACCCCTGTTTCTGTGGATATTCCAAGCCTGCCATCCCAGTGAACTCTCTGCCCCCGAGTTCATTCTGCCTGCATCCCCGAGCAAACGAGACAACCACAGGCACAACAAAAGCATCTTCATCCTGATTCTGTGTGTGGAAATCCAGACACAAACATCCACCCAGGTGCCCACAGAGGCAGGAACTGCCTCTTCAGAGCTGAGCTCTCCCTCTCAACACTCACCAACTGCCTTTTGACACAGCACAAGGACCAGCCCTCCCCTCTGCCACAATCGCATTGGCACCACCAAAATCAAACGAGAAACAGGCACAAATTCACTCTGTTATTGCCTTTTTTCTTTTCTTCCCCTTTGTGGCTTTGCTTGCACCACCCCATGTGCTGCACCTGAACCTCAGGAACCCGCTCTGGGGCAGCTCTGGGAGGGTGAAAACGAACCTACTGGAAATTACCCTAATTTGAACTGGAACCAGAACAGGTTGTACAGCGTTTAATCTTATCGTGGCTCACAAGTGGTGTCAGCAGAACTAGGTAGCCAAGTGCCAAACCCAAATAAATATTAAAAGCCTTCCGCCTTCTGGTGAAATAAAATCTGCACTTTGGGGAGTTTATTTTCCTTGTCTCTTCTTCACAGAATACAATATTTTGAAACTTTGCCATTTTTTTGAAGCGCAATCTGTCGGTGCGTTCGAGCTGCCAAGACGCAGGCACAGTTTAACATTCTTTGGGGTTTTCTTTTCAAGAAAGAAGAGAGAGAGACAACAGCAGCAAGAATAGAACATGGATTTCACGATGGCACAGGGAGGAGGGATTGCAAATGGGAATTGCTGTATCTGGGACTGGAACCTGCAGCACCAACGGGATGAGCTCGGGGTGAGGAGGGGGAACGTGGTGACTCCACTCACCGTGGGGTTCTTTAATGAATCCTGGGCTGAAATCAGGCAAATCCAAGCCTCCCAAGTGGATCAGGCCAAGTTTCTGAGCTCCTTTTGTTCCAACATGCAAAGCACTCATCTCTCCAAGCCTCTGGGGCCGGTGGCTAAGAGTCGTTTGCAGGAAGCATCAGCAACCCCTGACACTGCCTTAAAACCAGGAACACGGAGCAGAGCAAGGGCTGCCACCCCAGCAGGCTGCAGTGGGGTGCAGGAACTGGGATCCCCCCTTATCCCAGCCCCCAGGTCTCCATTGCACAGGAGAGGCTCAGCTGAGCCCCTGAAGCTGCTCCAAAACTCAACAGTCCAGGTCACACACCCTTGAAAGAGTTTCTCCCCAAACACGGCTGCTTAAAGGGTTTAGGGTTGTTTTCTTCAAGGAAAAAAAAATAATTGGAAGTCCCAAGATCAGTTCTGTTCAATAGGAGCTGCCAAGCAAGTGTCTCGCTGTCAAAATAAAATCCCCCAGTTTGCCACAGCTTTGAGAGATGACACCATATTAAACTGCAGTTTGCAGAGAGAATCATCTGCACAGGAGCTCAGAATGTGGAGGCAGCTTAATAACATACAAAATTGGATGTTACCTGTTCCATCCACCAGAAAACCAGTATTTTCCACATCGTTTTTATGATTCATTACTATTTTTGGCTTTGTTTCCTGAAGAAAATTGCCCCACGTGTTTATCTGACGGTCTGTGTCCCTTGTGGTAAGTGTAAATCCACTGGCCCATTCCAGCCCCATCTGACAGAGAAACTGAGCTTTGGGAGACTGCAAATCTAACAAAAGCAGGTGATTAAATAAAGAAATCCCCACTTCAGAGACAGGCTGCAGCACAAAGGCCACCCATGGCAGGCACCAGCCATCCACACCCAAGCTGTGCAGAAGCCCTGAGTGCCTCAGACACCAAAATAAGAGCACAAGGTTTGATCCTGAGGCCCAAACCAGGGTCTGAGCACCAGTGCAGGGGGTTCACTGCAATTCCTTGGGATTTGCAGTAAGGAAAGGCCCAGTGAGCCATCACACACAGCACAAAGTCTACACGTGGCTCCTGCTGCAAAAGGTTCCCTGTGCTGGTGGATCAGCAGCTGGGATTGTGCATCTGCTCCCCAGCACCCAAAAAGCCATGAGCTTTCTGTGGAAACAACCCCTGGAGCCTTGCTGGTCCCTGAGCCTTCGAGCTAAAGCTCTTTTGAGAGCTCTCCCTGCAATTTGCCACACGGAGACATCCACAAGCACTTGACTCAAAAGCCAAGTTTTAAGAATAATTGAGGGGAAAAAAAAAACCAGCCTGGCTTGGAGCAATGCTGAGAGACACCTCCAGTCTGGATTCAGCAAAACATCCAGAGTATCTGCAATGTTAAGCACAAGCTTGAATCTACTTTCTTTTAGCAGAAAAATTACCCACAGTACGTATTGAACCGACTGGGGCTGGAAAAGTTGCCACCTTTACAAAGCCTCGGTCCTTTCTTGCAAATGCACTGCTCAAGGCAGCTGGAATAGTCTCGGGATGAGAGGAAAACAGCCTCTGGTTGTGCCAGGGCAGGTTTAGATTAGATTAAGGAAGAATTTCTTCACCAAAAGGGTGGTCAGCTCTGGAACAGGCTGTCCAGGGAAGTGGTGGAATCACCACCTCTGGAAGTGTTCCAAGTGTTCAAGTGGATGTGGCACTTGGGGACATGGTTTAGTGGTGGGCTTAGCAGTGCTGGGTTAATGTTTGGACTCGATGATCTTGGAGAGCTTTCCCAACCTTAATGATTCCATGATCCCATGATTTTAATTCCAGCAGTTGGCTGCAGCATCACCACAACCTCCCGTGCCCCAGCAGCGACCCCTGCACGGCTCAGACCAGCCCAACTGAGCCAACACTAAGAACCAAATGAGGTCTGAAAACAAAAATCCTAATAGGAAAAAGAAACCCTGACTTAATGAAAACACATTAAATACTTCCCTGTGAAGGTCTTAAACCCAACTCCTCAGGGAGGGGAGAAAAATACACTTGCAATGGGCTCATTGACCTCCTCCCACCAGCACTGACAGAGCACAGAGATGGATGTCATCAACCCCCCTCAATCAGGGCACCGTTAAATATCAATATTGAAAAAGGAAACTTCAAAGTTTCGCAGGGAAAGGGTAGGAAGCAGAACAGAGAATAACAAAGAAAGGGAAGACAGAGGAATTCACTGCCCACATAGGCTGTAACAGAAAACAAACTTCGACTTCAGAAGGAAAATCCCATTCCCCTGTCTCCTGACATTTCGCTGCAGTCAGAAAACTTTTTCATGATTCAACCCAAAGTTAATGGTTCCTTGCCACAAAAAGCTCCTATTTCCATCAAAGGATATTAACTAGTTCTGTCTTCACCACAA